ACAGGGTTACAAGCTGAATATGTTTTAAAAAAATATAAGTCTCACCGAACTGTTCCAAATTTTGTTTTTGAAACTATCGACACGACAATTTAATAAAATAAATGATATTACGTGATTAGATTTGGAGTAATCATAAATTATTTATGGCTATCACGTGACTTGATAGTCATTTCCAATTTGAAACACAATAATTTGATTTGATGATTTATTGTGGCACACACTATACAGACGAATTTTTTGTATGATTTGATGTTGCATATTTGGCAGTAATTACGCGTTTATAATCAATTTTATAAACTTCCCAATTTATGATTAGATATTTGACAAAGTCCCAAGTGAAGTATATGATCGAAAAAATTTACTATCCTCTTTAATAAATATATTGAAAAGGTGGTGATATATGATTATGGATGAAAATAAAAACCTTTTTCGGTAAATTTACTATCAATATTACTGTTAAAGTGCCATTATAAGGATACATTCATCCAAAAAGGTATACATTCCTCCTTAAATTTAAAGGCATTTGGTCTGTCGGTTACAATACCATTTATTGCGGTTCGAACATACTACCTACCATTCTCTATACTTTTAAACCTCCATATGCAACCATTGTTTGTGAATCACTTCTTTTTATTCGGTTATTCAACTTGTCACGAGCTTTTTGTTGATATAGCATTTCCAACGAAGCTATAACGTCACGAAAAGTTCTACAACGTTAGAATATAGCGGCAAGCGTTATCAATAACTAGTGAGAGAACCTCCGACTATTGAACTTACCTTTCATGCTATTACCATATCACATATTTTCTTTTCGATCACCGAAAATATTATTTCTCTCGGTATCTAAGACCCTTTTATTATAAAAGCAAGTTGTCGCTAAACAACTCTGTTTAGTTATTCGTAATATACCACAGAACCTAGCTGTTATAAAGCTTATAAATATCAAAACATTGGCTAAAAAGGTAGCAAAGTGAATACATTCTAATGTTAATGGTCATAAAACACACTTAAACTAACTTAAATTTGAATATACTGTATGTTGGAAAGAATCTTCTCAGTTTGATTATTCATATAGAAAAAAGTTTACGTATTCGTAAATGCAACAAATTATTTTTAACGGGACCACGATAATGGTCCTTTAGTAGAAAACAATTCAATTTTTAATAACTTGAAAAACTTCGTAATCTTCTAAATGACGATTATTTGATGATAGGAATTTATTCCCGGAATAACTAGATGTATAATTTCTAATATGATCATTTTTAATGGCTAAATCCCATCCACCTCCAAAACACGGTCCATTATTGGTAGAATACGAAACAGCATAAATTTTTTCAGTTTCAGTTACGCGAGCAAGTTTCCCATTTCTCGATCTTTTACTCGCAAATGAATATAAAAAACTATCTCCCGTTTCCTGCCATGATCC